AGGTGATCTGGGTCCACGAATCCACCATGAATCAGGAAAAAAAATTAGTAAAAAAACACAAATGAGTGCAAATTTTGATATTCAAGTACATCTAGGAACTGGTTCATCCACCCATTGAATTCTATTAGATGGACGATTTCCCGTTCAAATTCTTTATTTAAAAATGCTCAGCTAAACGATGCAAATTCTCCACCACTAAGCTTACTCCCCCTTGTGTTAAGTGATTTTTCAAAGGATAGTGAGAAAATGTTGAAAAAGTTATGAAAAGTAAAAAGCCCGAGACTACCGAATTCTTTGTGAGTATTTTATGCAATTTAAAGTCATGCAACTAGGACCGTGAAGTTTAAGGTCATGCAACAGACTTCCGCTATAGTTTAAAGATCATATAGTTTGGACCATGGCTGTGCAGTATAAGGTCATGTAGCATGGACCATGGTTATGTTGTTTAAAGTAATATAATTAGGACCATGCAGTTTAAGGTCGTGCAACTAGACCTCCGCTACAATTTATGGTCATACAGTTTGGACCATGGCTATGCAGTTTATGTTCATACAGCATGGACTAAAACCATGCAGTTTTAAAGTCGTGCAGTTAAGACTATGGCTATGCAGTTTAAGGTCATGCGGCTAAGATCATTACGTGGGTTACCACGTGGATGAAGTTTTATGGGGGTAGGTCTGTGAATAGCAATCTGATTCCCTGGGGATAAAATAGTTAAGGCTATTTACAAGAGGAGAGCTTTTAGATGAAGATGGTGGCCCTACAAAGAGTAGCAAGTAGAAGCGAATCTTCACTGGGGTTTAGGAGGGCCAATGTGAATCCACAGGGATAATGATGGGGCTTCATGTAACTCCACTGGGGATGACAATCTGGAGTGCAAGCGTAACCCCGCTAGGGGTTGAGAAGATAAGCATGGACCTCACTCCATGGGGATAGTGTCGCAATAGAGTGTGACTCTCACCAGGATGTTGGTGCAAAATTAACTTCATTGGGGATTAAAGGGGTAGGTATGACCTTTTGCATACATCTAACTCCACTGGAGATGTTGATGAAATACATCCTACTGAAGAGGTGGTCCATCTCTCAGTTAAAGTTATGTGTGTGGGCCAATGGTTTAAAAAACGGATCGGTGACCCAGATCAGGCTTCCAAAAAACCGATCCGGATCGGCGAATCGACGATCCGGATCGGGAATCGGGTGAATCGGTCAGAATAAAGCTTAAAAAAAATCTGAAAAAATTATTAAAATTCATTATAAATATTGTTTTTTAGGAATTCAATAAGAAATGAGGGTACTCCATTAAGAATTTTCATGTTTTTGAATGAATATTC